CCGTAAAAGTAACAAAACTAATTATGGCAAAATTAAACATTAAAAAACACTATGCTATGAAAAGAACACAAAACGAGTACAGAAGAGCAAGAGCGCGTTTGGCCAGAAATAATAAAAAAACAAAAGGCAAAATATTTCTCATGTCCTAATAATTATCTGATCAGCGTCACCTGCTATAAAATCTACTATGACAATTGTAAGAATTGCAAAAAAAGGCAATTAAAATATTAAAAATGAACAAGCAAGCGGCTAATATGGTGCATATATCACTATTGAATATGTTTAAATTGAAATAATTCGTGCTATCTCGTATAATGTTTGTATATCACTATTTTAGTTTTTTGGGATGGACTTCATGAAAGTTAAAACCATTTTTCGATATTAACATCATCGTCTTCCTCACGCATGACATCCGCGTTGCTACAATCAATGCAACTGCCCAAACTGGAGCACGAAAACCCTGATTTCACACAAGGGCATTTGCTGCTCTTGTAATTTAATTTGGCGCATCTGCATTTAGAGTGGTTTAGCACTAAGTTTGGGGCAATTTGTTTTGAAATCCATTTAATATTTATATCATTTACTATCCATCCGTGGCCATCAGGATTTGGAGCAGATATAAAATTTTGTAGTGCTCTTCTGTGTATGGCACATTGGTAGTTTGCATGTGCTGAATGGAGTACGATAGCATCATCAGATGGGGGCATACAGGGCTCGTCTAACGATTTATTTTGAAATATTTCAAAACGTACTTTGTTAACAGACATCTCATCAGAGTAACCATAAAGAGTGCAAACAAACTTTGAAAGTTGAATATAAATATTTTCTGAAATGTACCACTGATCTCCTAACTTTGAAAAAGCCTATATGAATTCTTTTGATTTCAATAAATGTCGCATACCCTTCACTTTTCCCTTTCCACGGAAAGCGCTAATGGTGTCACATCCGCTAAATACATGTAGACCCAGAATAGCTTTGCAAAAGACCATTTCCGAAGTAGTTAACCATTTTTCTGATTGATAACATCCTGGACTGCGAACGATTTAACGTTAAAAAATACAAATTACATCCAATATCGGAAGAATTGTGCCAATGACAATATCAATACATCGGTATCAGGACTGTTAATAATTACGTCGTTAAATTCCAATGAACAATGCTTTGCGTGTAATAAAAGCTTGATATCTGCTTCTTCGTGATCGTTGACCAAAGAAGGCTCGCCCGATACGCAAAGCTGGAATTGGCTGAAATTGATGCAGTGACACTCAGCACCGTGGCCGATAAAAATTTTCATATTCCCTACAGGACATGAAGAATGATAATTCGGAGCAAACAAAATTAAAAATTCCACAAGAGCCTCCTTATTCTTGCCGGAAAACAAAAACTTTTTAATCTGTTTAGGTTTTTTTTGTTCCAATCCTACTATTTTGATGATTTCGCTTTCATTCGATGATCTTCGACACCTTTCAAAATTTTTTATGCTAATATCTGGATAAGTGTCACACACAAAGTCAACCCTGTTACAATTGTAAGACTTTGCCACATGAATTATTCTGTCGAAAATCATATTTAAGAGTGTTCCAAAAGTTTCCAGAATATTATTCAAAGGTTGCAATAAAGCCATACCATCTATTACAAGAGCTGCATTGAATGGATATGATTTGACTAATACTTCTGGCACACTATTTTCCAATTCGTGCAAGAGCCTAGCTTCATTAGTTCTCACCGGCGTTCCGTTTGTTGATCCAATAGATGCGGGGATAGCAGTTAATGGATATTCTAGCATTTCTTGCAGTTCTATATTTTTCGCTTTTTCCAATAAGTAGAAGCCTATGGAAATTATCTTCTGATTTTTTAGAGAAGTGTGGTACTTTTTCGTTAATTTTGGCGCTACCCGAAGCAAATGTTTTTAATTTTAGCTGTTTTATAGGAGTAAATATACTTACAGTTGAATTAGCAAGAATTCGGTTTTGGCAAAATGAATCTGCGTTGCTTTTTCCCAGTCTAAATGCGTCTTCCATATCCATTTTAATAGCATCTGATGCAACGGACCCCGAGGAAAGGTTCATCAGAGAGCCGCATTCTAAATCAAACGGGTCGGTCTTGAAGGTCACCGTATCGACTATTGATTGCACGTTTTGTTCATCTCTGATTGAGTTATCAGAATCAAGGTCTTTGCGTTGTCGTCTAGTAGCATCTTTTCCAGCCATTTCTCTGCATGCCATAGAAATAAGAGCGCGTTGATGGTGTGATAGAAGCCATCTATTTACAGCATTTTTGTTTAAAGATAGCCCACGAATTCCGCCTCGGGTTTTAGAATCTCTGTTCAAAGTTTGCTCAATTAATTGATCGCAGGCAATTTGGCTGAAACCATATTGAGCATGACGCTGTACAGAAAAATTTCCCTGCTTTAAATACTGATATATTTCAGGATGACTTGATGACAAATTTTCCATTACAGACAAATAGACTGAGACATATCTCGCATAATTGATATGATCATATGCAAAAAACCAGGGTAGCATTTTATGAATGTAGCAAGATGGATTTCCATAAGCCGTCTCTAGTAGCCCGAATAAATTGCAGCAGAAGTTCAACCATATCGATATAAGAACTCCATAAACTAAATGTTTTATTCATCTTGCTCTGATGCTCTATAAAAAGCTGATAATCCGCCAGTAGACTCCTCACTTCTTCGCTTTCACATATTTGTTTGAATAATGAGGGTCTGTATAAGCATTATTCAGCTTTGATGCCAAATCACAAACCTTGGCTTTGCTTCGCAAAGATTGGTTTTTAATGAATACGTTCCACCGCATCCTATGCAACGCCTCAAACACGAGTTTGTGGGCTCGAATACTCCTATTGTAATGGCGACCATTAATGGAACCTGGAGCAACGACACGGGATTCTATTATTATATCCGATAGACCAGAGCTTTCGTATCGTTTTCCAATTACAGAAAGGAATGACATGCATGTATGGAACTCTCCAAGTCGCAAAACCAATCTTTTGTAGAAAAGTGGATTGCTCCAACGTATTTTCTGGGCCTTAGCGTATATGGCCGGATCATATACCACCACAACAGTGTGTAAGTCAAGTTCATCAGCAATAGCAACACTTTTTTCGAGTACTGTGTTAATTGTTGATATATCTGTAGATGGTGCGTCAATAACCGGCAAGTATCCAATATTCGACACACGGGCAGTACTTTTATTAAGAATGGTATTAAAAGCAGTCCAGCCCGGAACAACTTTTTTTGAAACTTCTGGGAGTTTAAGAAGTACGTATGCAAGATCTATGTTCAAATATTTGGAAGTTATCGAAGAACAGGCAGTGCCGCAGTGGAATACATAATTTCTTTTGAAATCTTAGCAGGTTCGGAAGTCTGAACCGCGGTACGGAGTTATTAATTCCGATCGAGTTGGAACAGAACGTCGCTTAGATTTTGCAAGTTTTTCTCGTGATTGAGAGGCAACAACAGTTTCTGTGACCTGTATTAAAATTCCATTTGTATTATGTGTCGTTCCTTCTCCAGATTTTGTCTCATTGAAATCATTATTATCCCAAACAATTGTTGACGGAATGCGCGGAAGAAACCCATCGGGAACAATCGTGTGTTTTTGCAGTTGCAATTCGGTCAATGCAGTATCATGCTCCAGCACAACAGAATGGGATGCCGAGTGGCCAAGGCCGTGGAGCAATTCTATAAGTCGGGAGGAACCGGTCCAATGCCTAACTGTCATTCCTAACGCTAAGTGTTACGGTGTTTGTTTTCTACCCCTTGAACCAGATAGATGACATCTTGGGCAAGCGAAACTAGCCTTATGTTGTAGAATTCAGAGACATTTAGAAATCCTTCGTTGCTAATATCTTCACTTGCTCCTACTATCCATGCCAAAAAATTATAAAGCTCTACTGGGATGCTTTTCTGTAAATTACGAAGTTCGAAATCCGATGATGTTGGTGGCCAGGTCCTTTCACATCCTTCGTAATTTTTAATTACATTCTTCAGAAAAACGGCAGATCTATACATGTCTCGTTTGACTTCGGATATAAAATCGACTTGAGATGTTTCAGATGTCATAAAAGTCGTTCCGCGGGGATTTCGAGGCGATAAATATGTATTTTTAATGTATTTAATTGTACTCTACGAGATTTTTATTACAGATCTTGAGATTTTTCTAACGGCGATAACGAACTCGTAAGATCACAAAAAGTATCCACGCTAAATACAATCACGCATGTCTGTCTATCTCACATTTTTATACGCCAACAGATTGAGCGGTATTTTAGACAAGTGATGTTTATATTTTGATACAAGAAGACGGAACCGCGATTTACGTTGGACACAATTATATCAATATAGAAGAAAATTTTATAGATTCTCGTAGCTGTCATGAATTGAATATTTTACGGTATATCCTTAGAAAGTCGGCTCTTTTATGAGCGCGTAATCGCGGCGACTGTTTCAGAATGAAATGAAAATTTCCGATTTTGAACCCCCCTTTTGAAAATCCTGGCTGCGCGCTTGGCTGGCTGGGTACCCCACGGAAGCCAAAATTTTCATCATTTCAGCGTGAGCTACATATATACTCTAACAAAGATGATGGAAAACTTTTTATCTTATTTAATATTGTCGCATTCACATTGTTTCTGGCTACAAAACTAATCGTGAGTGACCTTCATACCTATGTCTTAAGTCGTGCAAAGACAGGTTGAAGGTAGAGATAGTAGTAAGCTAATTTCCATGCACGTCATCTTATAAAATAAATATGTTTTTCATCCGTTTACTATTCAAATCAGGTAGTTGACTATGCAAACCAAAACATAAATATGTTTGGCACGCGAAGGTGCTCATTATTCATAAAATGGCACGCTGGGTTCAAAAGGTTGCCGACCCCTGCCGTACGGCTTTCGGCCCATGGGCACGCATTTTCCTCTGGTAGTAACAAAGGATATTAAAAAACAGCAACATACGAAATCTCGACTGTCATCCAAGTACTCCTGGAAATCTTCTCGTGAACCCCAGGTTGAAAACCCCTGTTTTAGTAGGAAAATATCGGAGTCGCAATTTTGAATGGGACATAGCCATTTTAGTAGGGACATAGCGGGCATATGGGACATACCGTAGCCATTTTATAACTACTCTCTCGACGAAGGGCTGGTACCGTACCCAGTCAAAAGTAACGCTTAGGCGTTCAGTCAGCCAGCATAATACGCGAACAGAACACTACGGTGCATGTTCTCGATAGTCGTGACTAGTGACTCCCGACGGCTAGGGTCCATCTGCTGGGATACCACAATCGGGTTGGAGTCATGATGGGTGTCATGGGCCTGGTAGCAGTCCAGGCACTTCCACTCAAACGTGACCTCCTGTTTTTTTAATAGCCTGTACTGTTCCCTTGTCATTGCCACACCTGAATTATTAAAACATTTGCGATGAAACCAATTTCGACAGACGTCACAGATGAGTCCCTCCTGCTTCATGGAAACGTCGTCGTCACATCTCTTGCACGTATTTGGAGTCATCTTGAATTCTTGCGTAGTTTTTGTGGAGTTAATATACCGTTAGTCGTCCTCGTTTCAGTATAAAACTGTAATGAAAACGACTTCGGCTAATGAGTATTTACGTTTGTAAGGTGTCAGGCCGGCGATAATGAGGCTTTGAACTCGGCGATAACTGAGCAGTAATTTAGGCGCGCGGCTTCATTATCACCTATCTGGCACCTTATCTAATCTCCGTGCATGGATATCACTTCACTCAGGCCATCATGAAGAATGTGCGTCACAATAATTTGGCTCGCCTATACAACAAGTGAGTGGTTAACCATATGTATATATGTCTTTGTACATCTTTCACTTCTTTTGTATTAACATGTTTTTATTTTGTTTTAGGGAGGCTGGAACAAGAGACCTGATCAAGCATGTCATGACGCTGTGCTATATACCACCTATGTTTATTACGTCCAGATTCAAATCACTGAAAGAAAAGATGCAAACTCAAGAACTTCGCCGAATATTTTCAAAACACAAGCTATACAACAGTGTCTGGACTCCCAATGATTGGTCAGTATTCGACGTAGAAATAAGAACCAACAATCATCTGGAAGGTTGGCACCGCCATTTTAACAGTATAACTCGGAAAAATATGCCTTTTTACAGTTTAATCTCAACAATGTACGAGGTAAGTATAGGGATAGAGGTGGACGTTGTGGAGATTTTGGAAGAGAATGTTGTGGGGCGTGTCAACGGCAGGTATGCGGAAGCCAACGAGAGGGTGCAACGTTATCTGTGGACTCTCTTCTTCGGAGGTGTTCAAGGATCTACGGGCCGCAGTATTGCAAAGAGTAAGTATGTAACGCAGCAAATTTCCCAAAACGTTTAGTATTCAAATAAAATTCATTATTCGTAACGAAAAAGAAAACAAAACCTTCCATCCATTAACCCTACCAAAGTATTTTAAGTTAGATCACGAAATTGCTACAGCAATATTATGCTATTGTTTGCCAACCACGAAGCGGTAACAGTAAAGGATTTAGCGAATATTTCTATTTTTTATCACGGTTTGAAGTTTCAACTCCCAAGAAAAAAAATGTCTTTTTTCTATCCGGTTTGTGACTCAGACCACCACTTTTAAAAAAACTTTTTTTTTTTAATCGCCAATTGCAAGCTCTTTAAATAAGCTTCCCAACGAGCCGTCAGTGGGCAGCAGAGGATTAGTTTTTTTTTCGTTAGTCGATCGAATAGTTGTGGGGGTACAAATGCATAAAATCGGCGTAGCAAATACGATTATTTAATAAAAATCGCATGGAAAAGGTTAAATTTCCCCATAACGTTTAGTATTCAAATATCATATTAAATTCATTAATCGTAACAAAAAGTAAACATCATTTTAGGTGTCGCTGCCTGAAGACCTCTTGAGGTCCCTCGCGACTCCTGTCACACAATTTAAGTTAGTTTCCACTTGTATTTGTAATATTTTTTCATATATCATACCATGTTTAAATTGTGTTGATGAATAAATGATGATTGATTGATTGATTATCCATACTTCGGCCCAGTTTCTTTGCCAGGCGCAGCGACAGTGCCTATCTGTTCCTGGTTTTCTTCTGCAAAAAGAAATTCCAACTCTATGACTGAAACCTTGCCGTGGTGAGTTGGCTCACAACTAATATCAGTCGGCACTAAGTAAATGCTATGCAACTCTTGAGTGGACAACACTAAAAGGCTGAAGGAAGAAACGGATGAAGTGGAAGAAAAGCGGAAGTTGGAGTGTTCCCAAAGGTGAAAAATTAAAAAACACTAAAAAGCTGAACACTAAAAGGAAGAAGTGGATGAAATTTCTTCCGACGGCTGGTGAGGTGGTTGAAGACACTAAAAAGCTGAACACTAAAAGGAAGAAGTGGATGAAATTTCTTCCGACGGCTGGTAAGGTGGTTGAAGACACTAAAAAGCTGAACACTAAAAGGAAGAAGTGGATGAAATTTCTTCCGAAGGCTGGTGAGGTGGTTGAAGACACTAAAAAGCTGAACACTAAAAGAAAGAAGTCGATGAAATTTCTTCCGACGGCTGGTGAGGTGGTTGAAGACACTAAAAAGCTGAACACTAAAAGGAGGAAGTGGATGAAATTTCTTCCGACGGCTGGTGAGGTGGTTGAAGACACTAAAAAGCTGAACACTAAAAGGAAGAAGTCGATGAAATTTCTTCCGACGGCTGGTGAGGTTGTTGAAGTCACTAAAAAGCTGAACACTAAAAGGAAGAAGTGGATGAAATTTCCTCCGACGGCTGGTGAGGTGGTTGAAGTCACTAAAAAGCTGAACACTAAAAGAAAGAAGTGGATGAAATTTCTTCCGACGGCTGGTGAGGTGGTTGAAGTCACTAAAAAGCTGAACACTAAAAGGAAGAAGTGGATGAAATTTCCTCCGACGGCTGGTGAGGTGGTTGAAGACACTAAAAAGCTGAACACTAAAAGGAAGAAGTGGATGAAATTTCTTCCGACGGCTGGTGAGGTGGTTGAAGTCACTAAAAAGCTGAACACTAAAAGGAAGAAGTGGATGAAATTTCTTCCTACGGCTGGTGAGGTGGTTGAAGACACTAAAAAGCTGAACACTAAAAGGAGGAAGTGGATGAAATTTCCTCCGACGGCTGGTGAGATGGTTGAAGACACTAAAAAGCTGAACACTAAAAGGAGGAAGTGGATGAAATTTCTTCCGACGGCTGGTGAGGTGGTTGAAGACACTAAAAAGCTGAACACTAAAAGGAAGAAGTGGATGAAATTTCTTCCGACGGCTGGTGAGGTGGTTGAAGACACTAAAAAGCTGAACACTAAAAGGAGGAAGTGGATGAAATTTCTTCCGACGGCTGGTGAGGTGGTTGAAGACACTAAAAAGCTGAACACTAAAAGGAAGAAGTGGATGAAATTTCTTTCGACGAATAATGAGGTGGTTGAAATAACTAAAAAGCTGAACACTAAAAGGAAGAAGTGGTTTAAATTTCTTCCGACGAATAATGAGGTGATTGAAGTCACTAAAAGTGACGTTTTACATCGGTTTCTATTCGCATGAGATCACAAATTTTCATCGACATAAGTCTTGTGCCGCAAGGACGATGATAATTGCTTTTTTGCTCTCGCACGGAACTCTGAGTTATTATATTCATCACCGGCGAGATGATAAATAAAGAAGTGAATCCGTAACCTAACTTATCAAGATTAAAAATTGGGCAATATAAAATACTAAAAATAAAACGGAGAACACTATAAGTTTTGTTTTAGGATGGCCCGCGACAGGGTAAAATTTTTTTTATGTTTGTTAATTGCAAATTTTCGTATCCCTGCGACACACATTTTTATAACTGCGGATTGCCGTGGTAGTACTGTAAAAAGTCAAAAATCTCGTTTTGCAATCGCGGCAACCGTCTGTTGCATGGAAATTTTCGGTCCTGATTTTAACCCCCACTTTTGGAAATCCTGACCGCGCGCCTGCCAATACTGTATTGTTGTTAGGATTTTCATCCCAGTTGATACGCTGTGTTCCACTATATTATTTTTTACATTTATTTATTTTTTCCTGCATAAAATATCAGAATGTGAAAAACAATGATAAATCCATGGAAATCGCTATCCTGAGATAAGAAAGTAAACAGCTCGCAACAGGACGATATTACAGTGCGAATGATACCTACATAATTACATAAATAAAAACACACGAAACCAAGCTTTTTAACTGTAACTACTTGAAATGTGAAGAAAAACTGACGACGCAGGCGATGAATGTGAAAAACAAATGATAAATCTCCGGGAGTCGATGTCCTGGAATAAGAAAGGAAAAACACCGATACAATGCGACTTAATAGTTAAATACATGGGCTACATAATTACTTGAAGGAATAAAAAAACACGAAAGAGAGCTTTTAACAGTAAATATTTTAAATCTGCAAAAACTGACGTGGGCAATTCATGGGTTTTTGCAATGTGGACATACATAGTACGTCACGTCATATAATATACTTTCTGGTAAACAGGTCCTGTGGCTCCATTTTCGGCAATTTACACACATTACTTGAGTCTCGTCTTTCTTGTTCCCCGTGCATTTATCCATATCGCAAGTTGTCCAACCGCTTTTTTCCTTTTGTATCATAGGAAAACATTCATGGTATGTTTTTGTCCCGATCCCAGTTAATCCGGCGAAAGAAGAGATCCACTGGGACTTCGATATCTCCCTTGCTCCAGTTAGCTCGTTCTTGCTGTGGTGAGTTTTGGCCTCACCGGAAAAATTAATAATAACGCTTTTTATCCATGCTCGTACTTGCGCGGAATCAAAGTGTGCTATAAGCGGAATGTGATTGAAAACACAGTAAGCGTTGATAACAGAGTGGACGCCGCAGTCGTAACTATTAATCTGCTGTGGAGCATCCGAACACAGAATCAGCTCCCATTCCGTGGGCTTAAGTTTCACCCCTGCAATCGCAAAGAATAAGTATAAAATTTTGAAAGCTTGCTCAAGTAGATGGTACTTGGTTGCAATTGATGAACAGGTCTCAGACGAATCGATGGCCACTAAACTTTTATGTTTGATGTCTGCTATAACTATAAACCAATGAACCCCTGGATGTTGGGATGTGTTGACTACAAAGACCAATGAATCATAATTGATCGGTTGTTTGAGAACAGCAAAATCTGCAATTGGTTTAGTTGAATTGTTGAGTGCAGCTGATATTAAAAAGCTTTCTACTACCAAAAATGCCGAATTAAATTGATGTATAGAAAGACCACCAATGGCACTCTCTATTGCCTCTCCTAGTAGCCACTGGTTATTGCTGACACTGGAACAAAGTAAACGCTTGTTTTCAGGAATGTCTTTCTCGCCATACCACACATATGCTGTTTCCCATGGGTGTGTTGTCGAATTGTCTGTCTTTCTCAAAGGCAAATCCTCCTTTTAGTGTCCAGCTTTTTAGGTCTTCAACCACCTCATTATTCGTCGGAAGAAATTTTCATCCATTTCTTCCTTTTAGTGTTCAGCTTTTTAGTGTCTTCAACCACCTCAGCAGCCGTCGGAGGAAATTTCATCCACTTCCTCCTTTTAGTGTTCAGCTTTTTAGTGTCTTCAACCACCTCACCAGCCGTCGGAAGAAATTTCATCCACTTCTTTCTTTTAGTGTTCAGCTTTTTAGTGACTTCAACCACCTCACCAGCCGTCGGAAGAAATTTCATCCACTTCCTCCTTTTAGTGTTCAGCTTTTTAGTGTCTTCAACCATCTCACCAGCCGTCGGAGGAAATTTCATCCACTTCCTCCTTTTAGTGTTCAGCTTTTTAGTGTCTTCAACCACCTCACCAGCCGTCGGAAGAAATTTCATCCACTTCTTCCTTTTAGTGTTCAGCTTTTTAGTGACTTCAACCACCTCACCAGCCGTCGGAAGAAATTTCATCCACTTCTTCCTTTTATTGTTCAGCTTTTTAGTGTCTTCAACCACCTCACCAGCCGTCGGAGGAAATTTCATCCACTTCTTCCTTTTAGTGTTCAGCTTTTTAGTGACTTCAACCACCTCACCAGCCGTCGGAAGAAATTTCATCCACTTCTTCCTTTTAGTGTTCAGCTTTTTAGTGACTTCAACCACCTCACCAGCCGTCGGAAGAAATTTCATCCACTTCTTCCTTTTAGTGTTCAGCTTTTTAGTGTCTTCAACCACCTCACCAGCCGTCGGAGGAAATTTCATCCACTTCTTCCTTTTAGTGTTCAGCTTTTTAGTGACTTCAACCACCTCACCAGCCTTCGGAAGAAATTTCATCCACTTCTTCCTTTTAGTGTTCAGCTTTTTAGTGTCTTCAACCACCTCACCAGCCGTCGGAAGAAATTTCATCCACTTCCTCCTTTTAGTGTTCAGCTTTTTAGTGTCTTCAACCACCTCACCAGCCGTCGGAGGAAATTTCATCCACTTCCTCCTTTTAGTGTTCAGCTTTTTAGTGTCTTCATTCACCTCACCAGCCGTCGGAAGAAATTTCATCCACTTCTTCCTTTTAGTGTTCAGCTTTTTAGTGTTTTTTAATTTTTCACCTTTGGGAACACTCTAACTTCCGCTTTTCTTCCACTTCATCCGTTTCTTCCTTCAGCCTTTTAGTGTTGTCCCTCTTGAGTCTGCGTTTTGCAAAGCAATGTCTTCTCCTCGAGCATCGATATCGCAGAGCGATTGCTCGACTGATGAGTTGTCTGTCTGCCTCTCGTTGCTCGGTAGTCGAGTTGTCTTCACCTCGAGCATCGATGACGTCACGTCGCAGAGCGTTTGCTCGACTGGTGAGTTGACGGCCTGTCGGGCGACTGCCGTAGGCGAGTTTAGACGGCTGACGGACAACTCGACTACACGGACAACTCACCAGAGACAACTCGACTACCTGGAGACCTGGTGAGTTGTCCGTCTTTTCGCATTTTCTACGGTGGTGTTTTAGGTCTATAGAAATGCGTTTTTGATATTTTTTAGAGCTCAAATGTTGAGAAAAATACATAAATATTCTCTAGAAAGCATTTTTATTTGTATAAGTGGCTTATTTTAATCATGTTGTATGAATACAAATACAGTCTACAGACGAAATTGGAGTAACGTTAGCGAAGTTAGACTGTTGACTTATAGGACTGTGTTCGTTTAATTTTATGAACTTTATTGGTATTAATGTTTTGAATGAGCACATTTGAATATATTAAAACCTTTATACTTCACAGTAACACTTAAATATTTATGAATGTGAGCTCAGTAGTCTGTGGTTGCAGTAGTCTAAACTCGCCTACGGCAGTCGCCCGTCAACTCACCAGTCGATCAAACGCTCTGCGACGTGACGTCATCGATGCTCGAGGTAAAGACAACTCGACTACCGAGCAACGAGAGTCAGACAACTCACTAGTCGAGCATTCGCTCTGCGATATAGATGCTTGAGGTAAAGACAACTCGACTACCGAGCAACCTCACTAGTCGAGCAATCGTTCTGCGATATCGATGCTCGAGGAGAAGACATTGCTTTGCAAAACGCAGACTCAATAGTTGCATAGCATTTACTTAGTGCCGACTGATATTAGTTGTAAGCCAACTTACCACGGCAAGGTTTCAGTCATAGAGTTGGAAATTCTTTTTGCAGAAAAAAACCAGGAACAGATAGGCACTGTCGCTGCGCCTGGCAAAGAAACTGGGCCGAAGAATGGATAAAAGATGTTTACTTTTTGTTACGATTAATGAATTTATTATGATATTTAAATACTAAACGTTATGGGGAAATTTAATGGATGGAAGGTTTTGTTTTCTTTTTCGTTACGAATATTGAATTTTATTTGAATACTGAACGTTATGGGAAATTTGCTGCGTTACATACTTACTCTTTGCAATACTGCGGCCCGTAGATCCTTGAACACCTCCGAAGAAGAGAGTCCACAGATAACTCTCCTTCCTTAAACTGTTCCCAAACATGTTGCACCCTCTCGTTGGCTTCCGCATGCCTGCCGTTGACACGCCCCACAACATTCTCTTCCAAAATATCCACAACGTCCGCCTCTATCCCTATACTTACCTCGTACATTGTTGAGATTAAACTGTAAAAAGGCATATTTTTCCGAGTTATACTGTTGAAATGGCGGTGCCAACCTTCCAGATGATTGTTGATTCTTATTTCTACGTCGAATACTGACCAATCCTTGGGAGTCCAGACACTGTTGTATAACCATGTGTTTTGAAAATATTCGGCGAAGTTCTTGAGATCTTGAGTATGCATCTTTTCTTTCAGTGATTTGAACCTGGGCGTGATAAACATAGTAGGTATATAGCACAGCGCCATGACATGCTTTATCAGGTCTCTTGTTCCAGCGTCCCTAAAACAAAATAAAACATGTTAAAACAAAAAAAACTGTGATGGAAACGACCTCGGCTAATGAGTATTTACGTTTGTAAGGTGTCAGGCCGGCGATAATGAGGCTGTAAACTCGGCGATAACCGAGCAGTAATCTCGGCGCGCGGCATCATCATCACCGATCTGTCACCTTATCTAATCTCATATCACCAATCTGGCACTGATATCCATGCACATTCCGGCGCAGGAAAATTGACTACGTCCACATCTTCAATGTAATTAACAACCTACTCACCCTTTCGTTTTCCGGTGCACGTGTGAAGAGATTCGTACTGGACTTCGAAGCCGCAACATGGCAAGCACTTCCTCCAGTATGGCCGGACGTCGAAAAGCAGGGATTCTTTTTCCACTTCACTCAGGCCATCATGAAGAATGTGCGCCACAATAATTTGGCTCGCTTATACAACAAGTGAGTGGTTAACCAAATTATATATGTCTTTGTACTTCTTCCACTTCTTTTGTTTTAACATGTTTTATTTTGTTTTAGGGACGCTGGAACAAGAGACCTGATAAAGCATGTCATGGCGCTGTGCTATATACCTACTATGTTTATCACGCCCAGGTTCAAATCACTGAAAGAAAAGATGCATACTCAAGATCTCAAGAACTTCGCCGAATATTTTCAAAACACATGGTTATACAACAGAGTCTGGACTCCCAAGGATTGATCAGTATTCGACGTAGAAATAAGAACCAACAATCATCTGGAAGGTTGGCACCGCCATTTTAACAGTATAACTCAGAAAAATATGCCTTTTTACAGTTTAATCTCAACAATGTACGAGGTAAGTATAGGGATAGAGGCGGACGTTGTGGATATTTTGGAAGAGAATGTTGTGGGGCGTGTCAACGGCAGGCATGCGGAAGCCAACGAGAGGGTGCAACATGTTTGGGAACAGTTTAAGGAAGGAGAGTTATCTGTGGACTCTCTTCTTCGGAGGTGTTCAAGGATCTACTGGCCGCAGTATTGCAAAGAGTAAGTATGTAACGCAGCAAATTTCCCATAACGTTCAGTATTCAAATAAAATTCAATATTCGTAACGAAAAAGAAAACAAAACCTTCCATCCATTAAATTTCCCCATAACGTTTAGTATTTAAATATCATAATAAATTCATTAATCGTAACAAAAAGTAAACATCTTTTATCCATTCTTCGGCCCAGTTTCTTTGCCAGGCGCAGCGACAGTGCCTATCTGTTCCTGGTTTTCTTCTGCAAAAAGAATTTCCAACTCTATGACTGAAACCTTGCCGTGGTAAGTTGGCTTACATCTAATATCAGTCGGCACTAAGTAAATGCTACGCAACTATTGAGTCTGCGTTTTGCAAAGCAATGTCTTCTCCTCGAGCATCGATATCGCAGAGCGATTGCTCGACTAGTGAGGTTGCTCGGTAGTCGAGTTGTCTTTACCTCGAGCATCTATATCGCAGAGCGATTGCTCGACTAGTGAGTTGTCTGACTCTCGTTGCTCGGTAGTCGAGTTGTCTTTACCTCGAGCATCGATGACGTCACGTCGCAGAGCGTTTGCTCGACTGGTGAGTTGACGGGCGACTGCCGTAGGCGAGTTTAGACTACTGCAACCACAGACTACTAAGCTCACATTCATAAATATTTAAGTGTTACTGTGAAGTATAAAGGTTTTATTATATTCAAATGTGCTCATTCAAAACATTTAATACCAATAAAGTTCATAAAATTGAACGAACACAGTCCTATAAGTCAACAGTCTAACTTCGCTAACGTTACTTCAATTTCGTCTGTAGACTGTATTTGTATTCATACAACATGATTAAAATAAGCCACTTATACAAATAAAAATGCTTTCTAGAGAATATTTATGTATTTTTCTCAACATTTGAGCACTAAAAATATCAAAAACGCATTTCTATAGACCTAAAACACCACCGTAGAAAATGCGAAAAGACGGACAACTCACCAGGTCTCCAGGTAGTCGAGTTGTCTCTGGTGAGTTGTCCGTGTAGTCGAGTTGTCCGCCTCCCGTTTAGACTACTGCAACCATAGACTACTGAGCTCACATTCATTAATATTTAAGTGTTACTGTGAAGTCTGAAGGTTTTAATATATTTGAAGGTGCTCATTCAAAACATTTAATACCAATAAAGTTCAAAAAATTAAACGAACACAGTCCTATAAGTCAACAGTCTAACTTCTCTAACGTTACCCAATTTCGTCTGTAGACTGTATTTGTATTCATACAACATGATCAAAATAAGCCACTTATACAAATAAAAAGCATATGGCATATTTATGTATTTTTCTCATAACGTCAATTCCTTTCTATTTTCCACAACAGTTAAGTGTAATAAATAGCATCATAATCTGTTTCAATGGAACAGCAAGATGACTCTATGACTGAACCGTCGACAGAACCTCAATACAGAGAGGCTGATCTAATCATTAAAATTCGGGAACTTAATCCGCACATTGTGTGTGCATTATGTGCTGGATATTTTATTGATGCAACAACAATTACTGAATGCTCTCATACTTTTTGCAAGGGTTGCATTGTCAAACATTTTCAGACTAAAAAATCTTGCCCAGAGTGTGGAGATGAAGTCCATGAAACACAACCTTTGAACAACCTACGAAGTGATCGTGTTATGCAAGATGTCGTTTATAAGTTGGTCCCAAACCTTTTTAAAAATGAACAAGAAGCAGAGGCAACATTCTACAGATCAAAAGGAATCGATTTCACTTTGAGTGGAAGTCATTTGTTAAACATTGGTACCCCTCTAAAATATACCCAACAAAAACTTATTCGTGATACCAGTAATGCAGAAGTGCCATCAATTGACGTTTATAAGATATCAAACTATAATGTTGCACATACAATTCAATATGATGAGAAACTCATTATTTTTTTGACTATGCATCCTGGTATGTTGTCAGAGGTTTTTAATAATGGCAGCAATTCATTTTATAAAGGAATATCATTTACGCCTTTTCTGAAAAATTATGTGAGATGTTCATCGAGAGTGACTATTTATTACTTAAAAAAACTGATAAGGCTAAAGTTGAATCCAATTTTAAAAATGCATGAAGATTTGCAAATTAACATTTATTCTGAGGAGAAAATCTTACCGGATAGTGTAATTATGAAAAAAATATTATTAGACCAGCTTTCACTGAACAGCCCATATATTGAATTGTCATACGATTTCCAAATGCTGAATAGGATTCAATAAATATTAAACAAAAAAATCAAAGTACTCCTTCGTTAGAATATCAAAAAATCTCCTTTACTAAATGATACTTCTAGATTTTATGAAATCATCACCTTAACGAAATTGGTTTTAAGCAGTGGTACCTATCCTACTTTTAGTTTTATTTTGTTCAAATGGAATGATGTGTAACTGTTGTAGACTTGGATCCAAATATCAGTTTTGTATCTTTTATCATCCAACCAGAAAATACCTAGTCCCATATCATTATTTGGAATCTGAATGCATGTTAATATTTGTCAGTCTCTTTTATTTTTCTACACGAGTTTCGATGTGCATTTAGGGCCAATGCATCACATCACCAATGTTCTAAATATGAAGTTGAACCATCAATATTCTAAAACAAAGTACTGACCGATATTGACATAACATGAATTTTGATATGATACTAATTCATTTATTACAGTGGTTCTCAACCTGTGGTACGCGGCCAGATTTACGGTAAATTATTGCAACAATTGACTTTTGAGTTGGCTAAAATATGCCGACAACGCTTCTCTTTCATATTGTATGTATTCGCTGGACGGCCTTTATGAATATTTCACGGGCATCAATTTCCTTGTTTATTTCTGTATCCATAACCAATCAGCAAAAAGTCAACAATGACTTAACATTTGCAATTTCTGCAGCCGCTCAGACACTTCTGTCGCTCAGACAGATATTCAAGTATGGTTGTAAAGTAAACATTGCCTCGTTTTTAGAGTTTTGCGAGTTATTTGTTAGTTTTCAGTTATTTTAAAAAAATAGTTGTAAATTAAATATCATTATGTCTCCAAAGGAGCATTAATTTAGTTGCTGTAATCAAAAATGAGTCTCGCAAATGCTGCGATAGACCAGTCTAAACCAAGCTATCAGTGCCACATGGTTGATTAATTTAAATAAAAATTAGGGCTTCAAACATGTAAACCACCTTATAAGCGCCAACACATCGAAACACTTTCTAAATTTTTTTGCAATAGTAAAGTATAGTAAGAGTTTTTCTGGGGTCAAGGGTTGGAGAAACGTCCTATTTACCAGTCTAGTCTTTAAGAGATCGCCCTTGTCTGCTACTGTCCCCGAATGAATCAAGATGGGCATGTTTCGTCCATCTTGCGAATTGAGTCACGAAGGATGAAGTGCCACATTATAGAATACTCCCATAGCGTGTGTCATGTGCCATTGTTCCCCACGCCAAAAAGGTGCTTTTTTAGTTGTACGCGGCAAAAAACAGTTGAGTGGTACACGGTCAGTAAAAGGTTGAGACCACTGATTTATTAGGAAAGAATATCCAAAATAATGAATGATATGTGTATACTGAAACCTTTTTAAAATGTCATTGTTTGATGGATGTTGGGATAGATTTTGGTTGTAGGTTGATCATTTTTAGATAAATAAATTTACAGAAGTTATTGTTGTTTTTTCTTATCTGACATGTCATTTTTTTGCTCAATCATCTGTTTCTATACCATAAATTGCAATTGCCACTATTAAGTTTTCAAAACTCACATATTTGGGAAATTTCATTGAAGTCAGGCATTTTGATGTTTAAATTGTGCTTCATGAAAATCATATAAGGTAGTTTTATGATTCCAGATGGCTTATCTGTAACAGGGATATGGGGTCAAAGAATAGTTCATACGACTACAATAGAAATTGACTACAGCTGTAGATTTAAGGGTGAAAACTATGTAACCCCAACTACTATTTTCCCACCTTTATAAGTTTGGCTTGAAAATTCCAATTTTGATTCGTTGGAGGTTAGGTTTCAATTCCCAACTTTATGTAATATAAAGGGCTCCAATATGAGGAGATTTGGCCAATCCCTCAAAGCATTGGTTATCAGAAAACTCATAGGATTTTATATCAACTAGCTTAAAAATAGGAAAGCCCTCAACTTCAAGCTGGTATATTAACAATCCAAAATAGATTTATGAACTTTAAATTCATCAAGACTTATAAGCAGTTTAACTATGAACTACATTTCATGTTTTGTTTTCTCATTATTTTTTACACCAGAGATTATGAATATTTACTAGTTTTTAAAATTACTCAATCATGTTGAATATTTCATTGAGATTAAGTGCAATCAAGAGAATATTTTCTAATGTAAGTAACTTTTATTGATTATTTGAAGTGGTTCTAATTTTAGGTTGATATCTTGGATTGAAGAATTATTCTTTTCAGAGTAATAATAATTTATATGACTATATTATCTGCTCAAAGCTAGCTCAACTTATTCAGAGTACAGGAAACTCGTTCAAAACCAAATTTCCAAATGACCGATGATATTTAAGAAGGATAAGAACTTTAATAATCCTTGGTCCAGATCACTAAAAAATGCACTAGGTACAATTGTGATAAATTGGTTATAACGCAAATATTATTTTGTATGGTTAAGCCGGAATTTCAAATTATATCTCATAATTACGATTTCAATTCAATAGTTAACGTAAATTTAGGCGTCGCGGAAAACAATATCAAGCAAACTGAACAACAATCAGTTTTTTTGTAACTTCAAATCGGCTCAGACTTGTTTTACAGATGTGATGTGTCCGGAAAAAAAGTTAGAAAATAGCAGAATTTTGCACAAAATGATCCGTTACACAACGGGGCACTTTAGATCGACTAGGTGTCGTTCTGTGTTTTCGGAAGGCATGTGCATTATACATTTATCCTTACGTTGTGTTTGTCATTGCCATACCATTTGATGGAGTTTTCAAGAGGTTGAAACTCGCCGATATATATCGAGTGTTGTGTCGACCCTTGTGTGAGCGCGCAAAAGTAATGTTTACGAGCCTTTAAGCGAGTTTGCTTTGCTGAAGGCTGCAAATCACCAGGTGACTGTTTTTTATATATTTACCGAAGTCTTGAAATTACGAACGTGCTTGTGATTCAATCCTCGATTCGTTATTTTCAGCTTGTTATTAGGAGATATCTAAATGTTGCTTGCAGGGCATTGCGGCATCATCCAGCCGATATGTCTCGACAGATACAGGAGAATCTAATATATATGAACTTCGAAAGTATTCATTAACACCACATGGCATGCCAAAGTTTTTAGAGTTATTGGAGAAAAATTATCATCTCCGAACCCAACATTCTCCTTTTTGGGGGTATTGGATTGCAGACTTGGGGGCTTTGAATCAAGTCATACATATTTGGGAATATGGTACGTCTTTTTCTTGTGTTTATTGTGTACATATATCAGCGGTTTTCATAGGGGGTACTAGTACTTCGCGGCGATTTGCTTAGCGCGCCCTAAAATTAACGGAATTGTGTTAAACATATCTAACTAATACCGTGTTTCCCCGAAAATAGGACTGGGGGTTATTTCAATTTTCTTTCGAAAAATAACACTAGGGCTTACTTTCGGGGGATGTCTTTTATTTATCAAAACAAAATTACAAAGTAAAAAATTACGAGATTTTCGAATATACAAAATATGAAAACCGATATCCATTAACAATTTTACTCTCTCACACGTTTTAGACGGTGACCGTACATTTGAACCCACAAACATTTGAACCCATGTGCATATCCACGGGTTCAATCTATATGCGGGTGTTAAAACCCATGGGTTAGGGTTAGTATGGGTTCAACTATCCGTAAAACAAAAAAAATTCCATAGGTGCAATAGCATACAGGTGCAATTGTCATGGGTTCAAATGTACGTGGGTTCAAATGTAATGGAACCGTTTTAGACTAATCATTTAAAACGTATTGGAGGGATTTCTTGCCATCGACTAGGTCAAAAAAAATTTTGAGTATTTGACTAGGTCTTATTTTAAAGGGTGGGCTTATATTAAAATCATTTTTAAAAGTCAGACTAGGTCTTATTTTCAGGGAAACACGGTATATCATTGAGTATTTCACATATTGTATTTATTATAAAAATATTTTACTATTCCCTATTTTAAATGGTGTGTATATGATCAATAAATTCATTTTACCGCTTTATGTGGTTTACTTCATGTTGGATAGTACCTGCCTCTTGAGGTCACGTAACAATAGAGTTACTTGCTTGCTGCAATTTCGTGGGCTGCATTTTATTTATTTGCTAAACCGAGTTTAGCGAACATGGGTGCTTTTTTTAGTATTTCGACGAAAAATCGGGCAGAAATGAGGAATAAGCGTTGAATTTTTGCCTTCATTCTTTGGGCCTACATGTTTACAAACTTTAAAAGGCATTAGGTACTCATTAATGATCGCAATATTGAGGAAAGCACTTTTTTTCGAGGAAGTGCCCGGAATCCACATAGGCCTAGCTTTGACAGGTGCCATTCGACGTCACTTTTTGTGATTGTCTTCATTTTTGATCTAACCTCAAAAAATGAAGCTGATCAAGAAGGCAATAAAACTGAATGAAATCAAAATGCTACATTACTTAAGTTCAGTTTATGTAATTTTCCAGAAAACTTTGCCCACAGAACCGCTGTAAGAACTGCTTTAGCGAAAGACAAGGAGTGGCAAGAATCATTTGTTCAAAAAGCATTTCCATATGTCGCTCATCAAACTAATTCTATCGTCTTGAAAGCTAATTGGTGCGATTTACACATGGATAAGACTGACACAGGTGGGCGGTGAATTATTTTGTAACCATAGTTGCAACTGACAGATGGTCGCTGGTGTTTATAAATATATATCTATTTAACAAGGATGCTTTGAACTATCAACATATGGAATGAGGGTTGGAGGTCCTCGGGTTTGGGAAGAAAATTTGAAAAGTTCATTGCTTGCGCATGCAAGACTTGAATATGCGGACTTGATTGGAACTTGGTATACGGATGTCGGAGACCACAACACAGGTTAGCTAATTATTACTTTATAATATATTACCTATTGCTTCTAGAGTCCCATCGCTTATAAGCATAGCATTTCTACTTTCCTGGAATTACTTTTTATTTCATAGATTGGTATGTTGTGTTCACTTTTGGTACGAAATAAACAAGTGTTTAAAAAAATAATACCATTCTTTTCGAAAGGACCAACGTGCCCTACCCATATTATATATACTCTGTCATATTTTTCATTATGATTTTATTTCTCAAATCAATAAGTTGAAGTGTTATGGAGGTATGAATTGGCTGATGCCAGAAGAGAAGGACGAAACAAAGCTCACAGTGACAGAATTGTCGTTAATAAAGGTACATTTACCAATTGTGGGTTTTTGTTTTATGAAATATTTGATTTTGTTGACGTTTGGTATTCCTGTCCACTAGGAGTTAATTGTATTTCGAATTTCATTTGAGGGGTTTAATTCGGGTCTTTTGTGATACATCACAATGAGGAGTTAATTAATGTTCTGTTCATTTTTATGGTAGTGTGTGTACCAGGTTAGGGTTAGGCCATAATTTCAGGTACAAATACTACGGGAGTCACTTGGCTAGTTCCCGAACTCGTAATAGAACCAAAATGAGGAAAATTGGAATAAAATTATGGCCTATCCCGGACCACATACTACGTTCCGGTATCCGCCATCTTGGTTCACATACTTCGGGAGTACCAAAAATTATATAGGGGTTGAAGCATAAGCAACTACTAACACATTGATAATGTGGGTGAACACAGGACCGTTCGAAGGTCATGAATTGTGGAATTTTTGTTTATACCTATTACCTAATGAAATAACATATTAGGAATGAAGGTTTAATAAGTGATTAGATACGATTTATATAGTTCTGTATTAATCCCTTTATGGCATAAAAAAAGACTACTCCTGGGAAAATAAAGTTTTTTTTGAATAGGCATGTTTACAACTGTTAAATCTATTGATGTTACATACAGAAACATGTATATATATATATATATATTACACGGCGCGTCTGAAGCCCGCAAAAACATTGGACTGCCCCAATTTCAGTAAGCGTCTTTTCGAAGACTACTAGATCTTAATAACGTAGGACCTACATTTAGGCTTGCCCTCAACCGTTAAATGATGCACGTAGAAACCGACACTTCTGCAGCCAGAAGGCATGGACTCCGCAACAGAAAAATCATTCAAAAGCCAACTCTTGTAACCACTAACGAGTAGCGTAATCGCGACATTTGTTTTAGAAGCCCCACTCCCATTCAAAACACTGGCTACGGCTCGGGAAACAAACCTATATATATATTTAATTTGCGCCAAATGCGTCGCATTCGTGACTTCGAAGTGTTCTTCTATAGTTTGAGAGAAAATCTGTGGCATACATTCCCTCAGTCTCCAATGTGGAAAAAATGTATACTATACAGTTTTCTACTTATTTTTATTCTATTATTAGTTTTTTCACTTGTCTTTTACAGTGAGGGACAACTTGAAGAATGTCGTGAGTCACCGAAACGTTCTGATGTCACCATTGCCATTCCTGAAACGTTAAATTAAATATATTTCGTTGTTTTATCTCAATATTAAACAGATTATTCAGAACATAGCTTATAATGATTGTGTTATCTTCAGAGGGTCCCGCGAGTTCACTTTCGTCTGTTAAAAATTAGAAGGGATCAAGGTTTATAGTTTACTTGAGGTCGGGTCGAGAATTAGAATGTACTTCCGTCCAATTTGGCTACTTTGGCTTTTCGTGACCGGCAAAACATATAGAAAACAAAGGCAGCAAAATTTAAAGTGAGTTTTCTCACCATGCGAACAGCGACACTTGAAAACCAATAAAACGGATGTCAAATGTCTTTCTTCATCTGGTTTTCAACAGGTAAAAATGGTCAGGGCGAAAGATTGTGTTTATCTAGCCTAGATCATAATCGATTTATTGGATGTCAAAATTTAGATTCGAATACGAAAGAGTTCATGGCTAGTGAATTTTTAAACATTCCGTCACATTTAATAGAACAATTTTACGCGGCCCGCGAATCATTCAGGCAATTAATTCAGCGTATGTTTCGCTTGAAGTTATAAACCTTTGGGGACTGTATAGAGAAAACGGAAACGCCAGTATTACTTGTATTATTGACAACGCTATTTCCAATACATCTTGTTTTGTTGGATCATCCATACATATAACAATGAATCAAAATAACCATTGTCTTCAAGAAAAAGGCGTACATTTTTTTAAATCGGTAAAATGTCACAAGATGGATTCGTTTAAAATTTCTGTATCCGAAGGTTTGCGAAATACGGATCTTTTGTACAAAGTCCTCGCCACTGATGCAAAATGTGAACTTTGAGAAAAACACCAGGTTCTGTAATAGCAAATTAGTGATTATCCAATTGTTATTCGGGTTCGGAAAGATTTGAAAATGAGAATTTTCGACGCAGTCTGCATTCCTAGCCCTTACCCTAAAACCGTAAATTTCTAATTTTTATTTTATTTTGAGCAGTGATGTTCTTTTAAACCGGGGTTTTGTACAAAAAGATACCAAAATACTAATCTGAAGCATTTTTAACTGGAACTTTGCATTTTTATTCGACACAAAATGACATAAAGGAACGAGAGTATATCGGAAAGAATCCGGAAATTGCCATGAAACTGTCGCCGCAATTAGTCAGACCACTTGTGAAAAGAGCCCACTTTTTCGATGGATGTTTTTTTGTTATGGTATATTTGCCGGAGCAATTAATCATTAATTGTCTGTTTAATCAATGTAACCTGCGTTTACATTGAAAAAATAGGAAGATTATTATATATATGCCGTATTTCTCAGTGTATAATACGCAGGACTCGTTTAGGGTGTGGATTGTATGAAAATACAAGGGTCCATGCATAATACGCACGGCCGAATTCCGTCACTCACTGGCGTCAACCTTATTTTGTATTTTCCAGAAGCAAAACAGAAATAACCGACGGCAACAACAATTAAACTATAGATTTAAAGTTCCGTTCTCATCACTTATATACGCTGGTCATTGAAATAGATGCGTTGCCCTTTGTCAGACAGCATAGTTCATTCCGTGGGTGTGATTCTACTGCAAGAAGCATGATCTTGTTATAACAGACTTTGTCACATAAAATAATATAAATAGGGCGGAAAAGACGCATGTGATAAGTATTCGGCAATTGGGTGTAAAATATTGATCAGGATTATTTTAAATTTTTCTATACCAATGTATAATACGCACTCCCTAATTTTGGAGATGAAATCCGGAGCCGGAAGTGCGTATTATACACGGAGAAATACGGTATATATATGTATGAATTATTACGGCAATCCGCGGCCATAAAAAGTGTTCCAAACTGCTCGATTATATTTAGTTTTGATTAGTATTTTTGCGATGTTACGAATTATACTAATTTGATCTGTTTTTGCAACACAGACGCCGCTCTATAGCAATGCTACCCCCCAAGATTCTTTCAAGATACCAACGTTAGAAAAATCCCTAGATCTACAATAAAATATCTATTAGAAACTAACTATTTTAGTACAATAAAAATGAATTTTAGAGTGATACCTCGGTAGTCGATCGAAGATTCCGAGTAAAATATGCTGAGGTATTCGAAGGAAATTCGGATTTCTTACACCCGAGCCGAGCGGAGCTCGCGGACAGGTGGGATGAGGCACCCGTGAACAAACTCAATCGATACAGGTTAATACTGACAGGCGAAAATACTGGTATGCAGTTGATAGTTACCAAATCGTCAGTTCGTCCTAATATGAAGCGCTTAGTAAAGCAAAAAAGTCAAGGAAACGTTCATTGTTCGGAGAAATTCACGCTTTTTGTATTTGAATACAATGTATTTTATTGAACCTTTCAAACTGTTACTCTCAGGCAAAATTGAAAAGAAAAATTGTGCGGCCCGTGGAGAAGTGCCAAAATTATATGGTGTGGGGCCAGAGAAACGAGTTTCTAATTTAGTTTAATCTAATTCCCTTCGCGTTGCAAAGCTTATATCCGAGTCCAATTTAATATTCATGCCTATGACGTTACAATGTCCTAACAGCGAAGCGAAAAACGCGATTCACAAGGTTGTCACTTGCTGAGCAGCGAGCAATTTAAGGAAAGAGTGGAGCAGGCGCTAATGAATTAGTAAGCACTTTTCGGCTAAACATTATTTTCTTTTTCTTAAATGGGCGTCATAAAACCGTCTGAAAAACGAAAACTTGAAAATGGATATCGAATTGTTAGCACTTCCATTGAAGCAAATTTGGATAAAAGTAGTCGGGAAAGAATCCAGCAGCGAATATTTCCCTGAATTCGGTGTGAAAATAAATTTAAATGAAAGTTTTCATTAATTTATACGTTTTAACTCATCACTTCTGCAAGGACCCCTAATGACATAAGGTCATAATGTCAAAAAGACACTATTTTGTGCCTGCAACTAATAGAAAGCCCATGTTAAATGATGGTGCGGCCCGCGATTTTACCCAGTTTATGATATCTGGCCCGCCTGCAAAAAAGGTTGCACACCTCTGCAATAAAAGATTGAACAAATAAAGAGTTTTTATGCGTTGTGAGAGGCCCAGAGGTAAAGGGGTGAATTTATAGAAAAAAGGGAGGAAACAACTGAGTAATGATGTGTCAAATGTTGGCAGAGTATTGTCCTGTTAGATTGCGACTTCACAAAATTGTCTTGGCTCAGAACTGCGCAGGATTCTGGCTTGCTCAGAAAAAATCGATTGTAAAGACAAGCGCTGCTTGAATGTTAGTTGTAGGCAAATTTCTTTTAGTCGTGTTGTCCAGTAAACTCACTATCCGATCTACTATTTAAGGAATCGGCGATCAATGTGTTGGCCGCCCCTGCATTATATGATCCTTCTCGCTCGACAATTTCTGATGAAATGCTTTAATAATAATATCGTGGGAAATACTTCCCCCGTGGATTGCTTGGTGGTTCACGCGCATAAGATTCTGAATATACACGAGCTGTGCGAGTAACGTGGCCTTTGTGGCAAGGGTCCCACTTGCCACAGTTTATGCAAGTATATCGGAATAGTTGTTTAGCGACCCATATATATATACTATTCGGCCTATCCAAAGAACGCCAAGCTAGCACTAATTAACAGCCATGCGGTAATTCATGGCCAAAAATCACAAGACTCGGTTCATTTCAAATTTGCAGAATTGATTATTGACAATTAAAGAATGTGACGAGGAACGAGACTAAAAGTAACAACAACATAGGTGATTTTAACACCATCAGAGAAGCAATTATTATTGTACTGTGCTATTGTAGATGCTATATTCGTGTAGCAATTCAACAAGTCTATTCTATTCATTCGTGTCTACTATATACTTTGTGAGCGGAATTGCTATCATTCACTGTACTAAGAATAACGCTAGTTAAGCTGCATTCAGCTCAACTAAATTCAGCAATTAAATGAAGAACTCAGCAATGATTCCTTACTTGATGAACATGGAATGATATTGATTCAAGAACAAACAATGTATACATGATCATGTAATGCATAACATCAGAGCCACGGCATCTGCCAGTCAGAGGGTGAAAATACAAAATACATATATCCGTTACGGTAAATAACACAAAATTAAAAATTAAGTCTCTATGTACTATTGATTGCATGTTGTCCACACATGATAAGACATCAATTATGGTTAGATTCTACATTTTGGGTTTGAAATTATTCTTCTCCGATCTCAGAAATCCCATAGCCTCTACTGCTGAAGAGCACTTTGAGTACTTCAAAATACATTCATCTCTGCAGAAAAAGTATAATAACTTATATATACCTTATGAAAAATGTCAATCAAGTGCATGAATTTAAGACATGTGGTGACAGCATAGTGGACAAAAAAAAAACAGAAAATTCTCTACCTAATTAGAATTCCCATACATTCTATGGATTCAGCAGGAGTGGATTTCACTTCACAATCAATTGTTGATATTTCTATGCTAATGACAACGACACCAGCAACAATTTCAAAGCGCTAAATATTTTCCACACATCTTATTTTTATACAGCACGAAGGTGCTTAACAATTAGGTGTAATATGAATGTTATAGTAATTGAAAAATGAAAAACACAGACTTTACAAAGTTGGTAAACTGAACTCACTCTACTCTCATGAATGGATTGAATTTGAATTCCTCTCCTATTGTTGATGGAACTGTCGGAACATTCGCTTTCCTTTTTTCCTATACAGACCAGTTACATATTAGTACAAATGGTGCAATAATGTTTTAAGAAGCAAACCTTCTAGAATAGAAAAAAAAGGGCGCTCCAGTAATATGTACCAGTACCAAAAGTATGTGTACCAATATGAAGGTAACTAATTTTGTTCACCTACTTTACATCAAGTTGTGTAAGGGACAGAAGCCTATGGGCAGGGGGGTGTACACTTGGCCAACACAAACAGTCCCCGAACTCATAATAGAACTAAAATAGGGAAAATCTGGATAAAATCATGGCCTAACCCTAACCTGGTACACATAATATGGGAGTAAATATACTACTATTGTGGTGACAATTAGGCCCCAAATATTGGCCAATGCAAGAATTCCATAAGCATTAGCTCTTTTATAAGAATTTTCACTGATACCATAAGTAAGAATATCTGTAATTAAGAAAATGGTTTAAATTAGTAGGATAGAACCTATTGAGCAGGGGTAGGCAAGGTTTTTAGACTGAGGGCCAAAAATTTCGCTCACCTAGACTGGCGGGCCATGTAACTGTGACATAAGTGTTGCATTTTATGAACAATATTTACAGTGTACAAAAGCAAAAGCTGAAAACAATAAGCCCCCTGCCAAAACTAAATTTAATCGCAATCTCAATAAATTCCTTGAGCTATTGTTTAGCTAAAACATCAAAATTTGGTTTTAGTTAGTTGTGGCAGAATCAGGCGGGCCAGATTGAATAACCCAACAAGCTGGATTTGGCCCGCGGGCTGTAGTTTGCCCCTGACAGTTATAGAGGAATTGGGGAAAATATCAGACAACACAAAAGATGGTGGCCGAGTTTTGACTAATAATATTACAAGTTTTGGTTTAGAATGAGGCAAGAAGATTTATATAAGTCACTGGATCACCAGTCCAGACAAGAACCCATATAAGATAGTATTAGACATTTGTACAATTATAAAAAAAGACTAATTTCACCTTAGCCCACTCCATCTTGTTTACTGTATTGGTATTTTCAGGTTCAACATGAAGAGCATACTTAAGGTTGGATACAGTATATTCATGACCACAATAAACTTTCTAAAAACAATAAAACTATTGTCTTAGATTGTAATAACTCTGAAAATATGAATTGAATTTCATTTATACTACTTAAATATAACTGATTTCGAATGTAATAGGATTTGTTTGAGGCACCATTATGAATTTGTAATTCGTGATGATTGTGTCTACAATGCTACAGTTCTCAACTCTGCAATGAATTTACGAAAATAAACCATACAATTGAAACAATTTGAAGTTGTTCTGAAATCTCTATTGCTTTCTGCCATATTTCCCTAAATATTTAATGCTAGTTGTCTAAAAGCCCATTATCTAAAGTAAATTAGAGTACTTATTACAGTGTTAGAAGGCAAAACTCCAAGTGTCTTGACAAGAGCATTGTACATCTGTTCAGGTTCCCCCTCAAAAAATTTTCCACAACCACCAACAAAAAGTGTGTCACCTAGAAAGAAAAGAAAATAATAGGTTTCTACTATCATACTCAGATATCTAACTGGTTTATAAATAAAATCCAATGAACTAACCTGTAAAAACAGCAAGGTCCTCATCTTCATTTTTTCCTTTGATGAAGTAGCATATATGTCCTTTTGTATGACAAGGTGTAAGGAGACATTCAACTGACAGAGAACCAATCTTAAATACAAAACGACATTTAACTTCGCAATACTATAGTTGCATGCATCCGCACTCATAGAAATGGTCCAACCCTGGGTTTCAAACACAATTTATCTAGGGGCCAGAGTCTGGGTGGGTCTGGGCCGCATCAGGTTTTACGCATTTTTTTTAAACACAAAACTAGTTGAAAACATAAGCAAACAAATTAAGACTAAATAAAAAATAACTGAAAATATTGAGAATTAATTAGTGATTGTGACGTCAAAAATCTGAGAACTTGTAACTTTTAATCATGCGAACTGAGCTAAGTGACACACTAAGATTAAAATTTCATACCAAGGCGGGGGTCACAAACCATCGTCCAAAGGGTGGCAATTGGCCCCCGGGCCGGGAGTATGTGGAAATGGAAAGACAAATCTACTAATCCAACAATCTTGATCTATGTGAATTGTCCTAATCTCGCTGAGTGTAAAAATATGCAAACCTTGAATTGGCTTCCATGTTCAACTTTGTTAGTGAGAGCATCGATCCTGTCATCACCACCATACACTGTTAATTTTGGTATTTTACCAGCTATTTCTTTGTTTCCACCCGCATGATCCCTGGTCAAATTTTTAGTTAGAAGTATTGACATAGTCAAATCTCTCACATAGCTGAATTGATCAGTCACTTTTTAACTTACCAATGATGATGAGTGGTCAACACCATGGAAATTTCAAGTCCATCTTTTTTGGCATCTTCCATCAACTGAAATACAACTTATATATCAATTGTACATTGACTGACCTATCAATATATTATATCTCTGCCTACTTTGTCTGGTTGAACTGGATCGACTGCTGCTGTAATATTAGTCTTTTCATCTGTAATGAGATACATGTAATTATCATCCAAAGCTGGTATGATTTTGACCTGGAAAATTATAAAGGAGGATAAATTATTTGTTAAATTAAGTCTGATATTGTACAAAAAATTACAACACACCTTGGTATTAGACATTTCACCTGTAGCGTACTTGTAAATGGAATAATTGTTAAAAGTTTCCAGCAAGTAGAGGTTCATATTCGAATTAGTTTTAACTCAAATTTTTATGCTCACACCAAATATGAAAATTGGTTTTTAGTCAATATTTGAAGGTCTAAATTTTTAAATCCATTCTTTGTTCACAATGTGACATGCTCATAATAAATAATGTTAACCAAAATTTACATGTCCATAGAATTCCTAAACGACGCAAGATATTGACCAGCTCCCAACATTTCTTCAACTTGGGTTTCAAGGAGTTATTGTATGATTAGAGAAAATTGAACCTAAACTGTGATTAACCAGGCATGAAATGGCATGTTCACCTCATAAAAGTAGACAGACCTTCATATTTCCTTTAACAATTGTTTGTGGAGTTGAATGGAACCCAGACCAAGGTGTTGTATATCGGTACCATGCAGTACCTGAAATTTGAAGTTGAGCTTTAGTCTAACTCGACAAATTAACATGCAAGACAGCTCTATGTAAACTAAGAAACTTATAAACTATGATTTTTGATGTTATTTAGTTTAGATTGAACTAGTACGGTACAGTACAGTAGTATTGCACATACTGACATATTAAATAGAATAAAAATATCACTTTTAATTGTCATTCAAACGTGAAGAAGAACCGACTTGCAATGGTGATGAGTGCAGAACTGCAGTAGTAGTTCATGTTAATATCATTTCTGCCTTTGCAGGTTGCAGTTAGCTCCCTAATGCGAGCAACTGGGATAATTGACATACCATTGGTGAGCCAATTTTCATCTCATAGTTTCTTGTTTGATCAACTACCTTACCGTACCAGTATCTTACAAGTAAAAATGAAAAAATTTGCATACTTCTTGCAAGCTGATGATAAACAGCACGGAGCATTTGAATTTCCCTCACAATTCTTGCTGCTTTCTTGTTTCAGAAATTAAACTATTCTCAGCTTTAAATAATCCAATTCCAAGTTCGGTCATCAGGATATAACAGGATTTAATCAAATGCCCTGCAATACAGCACTATTAGTGAATAAATACATTTTTGATGTTGTTTAGCAGTAATTGGATAAAGACTCCTACGTTTGTTGATTTACATGCTCTAAATCAGGGGTCGGGAACCTTTTTGGTCAAGAGAGCCCTAATATATACATATTTTCAATTGCATTTCCGTGCGAGCCATAGGCCTATAACATTTCTTCACTTAATCAGGCCTGAAACGTTTACTCAAAAGTCAACACATTCCATGTCAATATACATTTAATGTGACTTCTGATGCTGCATGTTGTCGCTGCGGGCCTTGAACGGTTGCTCACATGCAGCCCAAGTTGAAATCTACGATAGCGGTACCGGTACTGATCACCCTTTTTCGTTTAGGCATCTCCGTAGTATTTTAAAACTCTATCGCTTTGTGATGTCACAATATATGTTCCAGAATCCCATGTTTTGTCACAATGCCTGTCTGGTAATTCTCTTACATAACATAGACATGCGCTGGGCCCGCGTTGTCAAAGGTATTGGGAATTTTTTGCCAAATTTGGCCATAAAATAGTTTGAAGTCTAGTAACAATAGTAAGCTTAATCTTAGAATAATAGATTTTTCTGGGAGCCATATGCCGTCACCAAAAGAGCCATATATGGCTCGCGAGCCATGGGTTCCCGACCCCTGCTCTAAATCATTATTTTTTACTAAAATATCCTACAGGAGTGGTGACTCCTCTACAGCCCATGGGCCGGGGCCACGGCCCATCTAATTGGGCCACATGGGCCGTGGCCCATAGCTTGATGGGCCGCGGCCCCATCAGGAAAAATTCAATTATCTTAACAAAATTTTCAATTTTTACCAAATTGTCAATATTCGAACCAAAAAAATATACTCCTGTTGTATGTGTACCAGGTTAGGGTTAGGGCAAGAAAATTCAGATTTTTTACATTATAGTTCTATTATGAGTTCGGGGACTGTCTGTATTAGCCAAGTGAATAGTTTCTTTACACAACTTGATGGGCCGATGGATGAGCTCATTGAAAGACATAAAGACAGATAAAATAGTTTATTTACAACTAATTTTTGAAAACTGACAAATAACACGCAAAACTTCGAAAACGAGGCAAAGTTTACAACCATGCTTGGATATCTACCGGTATATATATGGCTCGGCGGTGTGGCGCATCGTGCTAAGCGTTAGGAATACGCTCGCCACCGCATCTCTGATTACCCTTCGTGGGTTCGCAGGTTCGAATCCTATGCGGGGATGATCATGTGCGAGAGGATTGCTGGACCGTAAATATATACTACCGGTACCGGTACTCCTCGCTGCTGTAGGGTGGTTCACGTAACCGCTGGTCGGTTACGGCTTCCTCTATCAAGTCCATGCTTCCGAAAACAAATAACTGGATATGATTTACATATTTATCCCGGGGGAGAGGAAAGCCGATAAATGGCGCGGCGGTGTGGCTCAACGGGCTAAGCCTTAGGGATATGCTCGTCACCGCACCTCTAACTACTCTGCGTGGGTTCGCAGGTTCGAATTCCATGCAGGGATGGTTATGTGCGAGAGGATTGCTGGACTCCTCGCCGTCGTTGGGTGGTTCACGTAACCGCTGGTCGGTTATGGCTTCCTCCACCACCAAGTCCATGCTTCCGAAAACAAACAATACAGTAAATCTAATCCCATACCCGACTTGGAATGGTAACCGGACAAGAGGCCGTGGTTCGCCATATGGATAAGCCGTCTTATCGGCTTTCCTCTCCCCCAGGATAAATGTGTAAATCCTATCCTCCTATCCTATCCTAATACGGCTTATCCATATGGCGAACCACGGCCTTTCGTCCGGTTACCATTCCAAGTCGAGTATGGGATTAGATTTTATTGTATTCTAAATATTGCGAAATTCAAAAATATCGCAACTTCAAAATATCTTCAACATCATCCATTGAAAATTCTTATAGATTGAAAATTTCTGACAAGTCCATTTATCCCCCAATTATCATGGTCAAGTTTTTTGATGTGAATCTTCGTGACAAAATTTTCAGCGGCCGAAAAAATATACAGAAGCAATTTAAGAATAATGCAGGAGATGCTTGGTACTTATCTATTCGAGAAAATCTAACAAAACAAAGGAGAGCTCTATTCAAAGAAGCAAAAAGCCTGGTAAAATCCAATGGCTACAAGTTTATATGGACAAATAATGGTGATATATTGGTACGCAAAACTCCTAAGGCAAGAGTTCTTAAAATGATGAATCGGAAAAGTCTTCTAAAGATTTGTTAAAATTGCATATGCATTGTATATGTTTCAACAGAAAAGCAAAAGTTATCAAGTTCAGATTTTCTTTTTGGGAAATATACACCATTACCTTGCTGTTTTTATATTCTTGTTCACTTTGGTGGATAAATGGACATGTCTTGAAAGGCTTTCAACTGTATTCTAACTAAGGATTCACTATCATCATATTTATCTGATGAACCAAATAATGTGTATCCGAATAGAAATGTATCTGAATATATGACAGTTGAAGATGTTAACAGTATCTTAAAGCGGTTTTTCTTAATACATATGAATGTCAGATCTTTGCAGAAGAATGTTTACTCACTTCAGAGTTTGTTATGTCAATTCAATCATCTTCCAACTGCAATTGCTATAACTGAGACAAAGCTCACCGACCATTCTACTTTGAACATTCAGCTTCCACACTACAATTTTGTGAATATTAATTCCAGGACCAATGCTGGTGGTGTGGGATTCTATATCCTTGAAAATAAGAAGTATAATATTTTAAACTTCCCAGGTCAAGAAAGCTTGGATTATGAAAGTATTTGGCTGGAATTGGAACAAAAACAATCAAACAAATCTGTAATACTAGGGTCAGTGTACAGGCATCCTAGACAAGATAACGTGAAGTTCATGGAATTCATGGATGAAATGTTGTGTTCGCTAAATCGAAAAAACTGTCATTATTATATTTTGGGAGATATGAATATCAATTTGCTGCAGTCAAATAGCAAGAATATTCTTGATTATGTGAACATGCTTCAATCAAATTTCTCGTTTCAATTATTTTGCCAACCAACTAGTGACAGACACTTCATCGACCCTAATTGACCATATTTACACAAATTGTCTTAATGCCAATCTTGTACCAGGAATATTATTGAGCGATATTTCCGACCATTTCCCTGTATTTTGTCTGAGCAAAATGAACACTCTTGATAAAAATTCAAAAAGACCCAGAAAACATTGTATGAAAAATTTTAATTTGGATAACTTCAGAAGTGAAGTTTTCGACAACTTTTCCATACTGCCAGATGAAAATTCAACTCCATCACAGCTTGAACAACTTAGTGCAGAATTTATAGATACGTTCAAACGCTTAATTGACAAACAAGCACCAATTCGCAAGTTGAGTCGTAAGCAGATGACACTGCTGTCAAAACCATGGCTCAGTCTTAATCTACTCAAATCAATCAATCACAGGAATTCTTTGTACAAGTCTCACTTCATCTCTGGTTCATTGGATCAGAAAGCTCACTATGAGAAATATGCCAAAACTGTTCAGCGTTCTATTGAAGAAGCAAAGCGAGTATATTATACAAACAAATTTAAAGAAAGCAAATCTAATTCAAAGGAAACTTGGAAGACAATAAAGTCCTTAATCTAGCCCAAAAGGAATTTATCTTTCCCTGGAAAAATTCTAAATGGAAATGGTTCCATTGTTAAAAATCCATTGGAAATAACCAATTGTTTCAACAACTATTTCGTGTCTATTGGAAATTCTCTTCCGTCCAAGCTTCCGAATTCTGATGTTTTCAAACGCTATGTGCAAAGGCAGGTCAAAAGTACCGTTTATCTGGAACCAGTGAGTGAAAATGAACTATTAGCTGAACTAACCAAAATTAATATAAACAAGGCTATTGGGCCTGATAATATTCCACCAAAATTCATTAAGTTTACAGCTGATATCATATCTCCCTACTTAGCAAGTCTGTTTTCTTTGTGTATAAAAAATAGGATTTTTCCATCAATTTTTAAAATTGCCAGAGTAACACCACTCCACAAATCTGGAGATCGTAAAGTTTTGTCAAATTATCGTCCCATTTCTGTACTCTCCTCCATTTCCAAAATTTTTGAACGTTTGATTTACACACGCTTAAAACTATTTTTTGACAAGCACAATGTTATAAGTGACTATCAATTTGGTTTCCGTGAGGGCTGTAGTACCACCCATGCCGTGCTTGATATCATGACATCTGCTATGGATGACTTAGAGAACAATAAAATTAATTGTAATGTTTTTCTAGACTTATCGAAAGCTTTCGATACTGTAAATCATTCTATTTTGCTAACCAAACTGTCCATGTATGGTATTCGTGGTGTTGCTGGTAAATTACTGACTAGCTACCTGTGGCAGCGAAGTCAATATGTCAAATTAGATTCCACAACTTCACAATATCTCCCAATATCTTGCGGAGTTCCACAGGGCTCAATTTTGGGGCTTTTACTTTTTCTAATCTATGTCAATGATCTAAATAATGCTACCAATAGTGACACCAGAATGTTTGCTGATGACACATGTATTGCTAAAAGCCACCACTGCCCTCATATTCTTCAAATTCTCATAAATAATGAAATAAGCAAAGTGGATGCCTGGATGAGAGCAAATAAATTGACTGTAAATTATTCTAAATCGACCTATATGCTTTCTCACCAAAAAAATATATAAGTAAAGCTTTCCATGTATCTTTTGGTGATAAAATGTTAATTGAAGTGTCATGCATGAAATATCTTGGGATAATTATTGACAACAAATTTAAATGGCATGCTCATACTGAATATCTATATAGCAAGTTATCAAGAGTGACTGGGATTATGTTCAAACTTAGACACTATTTGACATTGCATGCTTTAAAAATCATTTACTATTCATTATTTCATTCTTGTATTCTGTATGGTATCGTAACCTGGGGTTGTTGTGACAAAACCAGTCTTAACAAATTACAGCTAATCCAAAA